GCGTCCCTACACCCAGCCCGCCCCAGGGTCCGACAGCCAAGCCCCACGCTGCTGTCCATATCCAACTGTCATTCATGCATGTTCTTTGACTAGTCCCTTCACTTTCTTTCAACCAGTCCGCACCTCCCTTCTCCCCTCTGACAGCTGTCAGTCTGCTCCATCTTTCTGTACTTCTGTTTTTGCTCTTTATTTGGTTTATTAGATTCTAGTTATAAGTGAATGATATGGTATTTGTCTTTCACCAACTGGCTTAATTCACTTAGTGTAATAGTGTCCAGTTCTACCCATGTTGTCATAAAAGGTAAGAATTCCTTCTTTTTCCCTGCTGTGTAGTATTCCACCGTGTATGTGTACCACAGTTTTTTAATCCACTTATCTACTGATGGGCACTTAGGCTGTTTACAAATCTTGGCTATTGTAAATAACACTGCTATGAACATAGCGGTGCCTATATTCTTTTGAATTGGTGTTTCGGGATTCTTAGGGTATAATTCCAGCAGTGGAATCACTGGGTCATGAGGCAGTTCCATTTTTAATTTTTTGAGGGGACTCCATACTGTGTTCCATAGTGGCTGCACCAGCCTGCATTCCCACCAGCTGTGCACAAGGGCTCCCTTTTCTCCGCATCCTCGCTAGTGCTTGTTGATTTATGAATGCAAGTCATTTTGGCAGGTGAGAGGTAATATCTCACTGTGGTTTTAATTTGCATCTCTCTGATGGCTAGTGAAGCTGAGCATCTTTTCATATGTCTGTGGGCCATCTGTATGTCCTCCTTGAAGAAGTGTCTATTCAGGTCCTTTGCTCATTTTTAAATTGGATAGTTTGTCTTCCTGGTGTTGAGTTGTGTAAGTTCTTTATATATTTTGGAGATTAAAATCTTGTCCGATGTATTGTTGGCAAATATGTTCTCCCATATAGTGGGTTTTTCATTTTGATGCTGGTTTCTTTAGCTGTGCAGAAGCTTTTTAATTTGATGTAGCCCCGTTTATTTTTTTCCCCCCTTGTTTCCCTTGCTCTAGGAGATATATTAGCAAAAGTATTGCTACAAAAGATTACCTGTAATTTTACTGCCTCTGTTTTCCTCTAGGATTTTTACAGTATTGCAACTTAAGTCTTTTACCCATTTTGAGTTTATTCTGGGGTGTATGTTGTAAGCTGGTAGTCTAATTTTATTTTTTGGCATGTACCAGTCCAGCTCTCCCAATACCATTTATTGAAGAGACTGTCTTTACTCCATTGTATGTTCTTTCCTCCTTTGTCAAATATTAATTGACCATAAAGATGTGCATTTATTTCTGGGCTCTTTATTTTTTTCCATTGATTCACATGTCCGTTCTCATACCAGTGCCAGCCTATTTTGATTATGGTGGGCTTGTAGTATAGTTCGATATCAGGTATTGCGATCCCTCCAACTTGGTTCTTCTTTCTCAAGATTTCTGAGCATATTTGGGGTCTTTTTTGGTACCATATAAATTTTTGGAGTATTTGTTCTAGATATATGAAACATGCCACTGGTATTTTAATAGGAATTGTGTTGAGTCAATAGATTGCTTTGGGTAGTATGGCCCTTTTAATGATGTTAATTCTTCTAATCCATGAACACGGCATATGCTTCCATTTATTTGTATGTTCCTCAACTTCTTTCTTTAGTGTCCTATAGTTTTACAGGTGTGAGTCTTATTTCCTTGGTTAAATTTATTCCTAGGTACCTTTTTTTTTTTAACGGTAAATGGGCTTGTTTTCTTAGTTATTCCCTCTAATAGTTCATTACTGGTGTATAAAACCATCTTCAATTTCTGAGGTATCGGTTTTGTATCCTGCTGCTCAAAAAAAGCACCGCCTCCCTCACCAATAGCCCTCAGAGTTTCTGTCGCAGGACGTGGTCACCCAGCGACCGGGGAAGATGGCGGTCACCTCAGTCTGGGGACAGCTGGGCCCACAGGGCTGAGAGTGCCATGTTCTCATAGACATTTTCATGGGCCCCACCTGGGCAAGTCAACGTGCCAGCTTCAGACCCCCGGTCCTACCCGCATAAGTAACCTTGAGGACTGCAGCACAGACCCAAGGAAAGCAGCACCCCCTGCCCCGTAGCTCTGAGGGCCTCCCTGCTGCCCTTCAGTGAGGCGTGTTAATGAAAAGGCCTTTTTAGCAGTGTCTAAGCTCAGAGGCCACGGACAATGATCTTTTCCCAAAATTTACTCAGCAGTAAGCGTTCTGTGTCTGGGCTTTAGGAAGTTGCAGGTGAGATTTAGTGAGCGGTAACCCCCTCATGTAACAGGCAAAATTCTGGGTGCAGGCACATGTGGGCCCTTCTCCTGAAGCACAGTCCCGTGCCTTGCATAAGACTCTCAGAGAAGTCTGAGGGCCAGCGACGGAAAGGTGGGGACGTGTGGGTGGACCAAAACCACCCCCTACAGGCCCTCCAAGAGGTTTGTTGGTTTGATTTTAATTATTTGCTAACCTTTCTAAAAGGAACTATTTATTTATTTAAATCCATATCTTTACCTTGTCTTGAAATAGTTCAGATCCCTGAACAGCAGCATTTGCCTTGGCAGAGTCACCTTGGGGCACCTGGTCCCAGCCTGGGCTCTCGGGCACTGGAGTTTGCAACCTGTGTTACAGATCAAGACGAGCTGTTAGCTTGGAGTAGCACGTCTGTTAGCTTTGCTTTATAACTCGTAATGCGGCCCTAGCGGAGGCTTCATCTAATTAATCTTAACACATTATGCCAGGTACCAAAATACTGCTCAGATAGTTTTTTAAATTCTGAATATCCTATGGGATGTTTTCAGGCCCCGACCGATAAGTGCTGGCTGAACGCACGGGCCAAATGAGCGGGAAGTTTGTCAGTTTTCTACTTTGCTTTGCATCACGTTGACCCTGCCCAATTACCTGGTGGTGCTGGGGACCACTCTTGAATACCAAGCACACAGGAGACTTGCTTCTCTTGCCGTAGACTTAGAAAGACCTGCTTTGAATAAGGGCGCCTAGACCCGCTCCCACTTGGATGAAAAGATCCTTAGGGAAGAAGGTGGGGGGTGCTGAGCTGGCAAAGTGCAAGACCCCCGCCCGCTGCTCCCTTGCCTTTGGAACTACAAGCACCTTGAAGTCTCCAGTTAAGGCTGGATTGAAATTCCAAGCCCCTAGTTTCAGACAAATCTAGGGCTCATTTGATTCTTAGGGGGACTGAATTTCCAACTGATCCCAAATCTTTGGGGGTTTAAGTTGGTCTGCATTTGGCAAGAGATACTTCCTGTTTCTAAGAAAAATGGCTTTTGAGGGCTTAAGAAACAGGCTCCAGGAGCTTTTGGACTGCAAAACGGCTCTTGCAAAACAACATTTGGATGATTTACGTGTAAATGAATCAGAAACATGTGGATTAAATTTCCTTGTGAATACAGATGGGTTTAAAAATTAACGGAAAAAGTGTTTGGCAAAATACTTTTTTTTTTTTAATTGAGTCAGAAATGTCAGGGGTGGGGGAGGGGAGGTGCGAGGGGTGCGGGGCCCAGGGCTCCCCCCAACCCCCGTGTCTGCTGCAGGATTTCTGTGTGCTGGGGCTCAATGTACTTTTTAGTGGTACATTCCTCCAGACATGAGATTTGGGAAATGAGAAAGGCCACTTCCTAGATGCAGTCATCACTGACAAGAACATTAATTTAAAATTAGAATTGCCAACAAAAAGAAAGCAGTGACTTGCTCCGCCTGACAGCACGCTAAGCCATCACTGGGAGCCAAAGATGGCTGCCATTTGCTTCCAATGTGAGCCTCGCTCTCCTTGTCGTGCATTTCAAAGTGGCCACCCTGTTTTCATGGTCTTTTAGACACCCCTCTGTTCCCCACACCCATCATGGGAAGTGTGCCGTATGGCGTGGTACCTATTTGATATCAGAGGAGACAGCCCAGAGAAGGTAAACAACTAACACAAGGTCACCCAGCTTGTTTAGCGGCAGAAAGGATGGGTTACAAATGCTAGCAGCTAATCTCTGTTAGGTGTTCCCTATGAGCTGAACCAGGCCAAGTGCCTCTCATATGTAATTTTACTTAGATCTTCAGCAGCCCTAGCACTAGCACCGCGTTTGCATATACTGATTAATTGCATTTTCTAGCGGAGGAGGCTGAGGCTCAGGAGACAAGACACCACCTCGGGGGGCGGGGGGCGGGGGGGACGTCTGCAATAAGCCAGAGGTGGATGCCTGCCTATTGGAGTCCACACTCTTCTAAGCACTACACGTGGCCTCCTAACGCGGGACCCTTTGAGAGATTTTTGATTGCCCCAACAGCCTTCCCTTGTCCCAGGATCTCACCCCAGCTGTCCCAGGCGACAACTTTCTAAGGCAGGTTCAGAACATTCTAGAAGCCTGAGTAAAGCAGTGGTACAGGAGACATTCTGGAGTTTCATGCACACCTGCCTTCTCCTCCTCCATACTTTCTCCCAACCTCACAGGCCCGTGAACGAGGCCGGCGGTAGCTGCCATGGCTGCTGCTGGCTCGAGCCCGGAGTGACGGTCCGCGGACTGCCAGTCTGGCCATCAGTCTTCGAGCTCCCAGAGCACAGAGGGACGCACGGTGTTTTGTAGAAAGTGCTGGCCGTTGGGAAGGGGCCCCCCCACTTTTTTTTTTTTTTTTTGGAAGTGAAGGGGAGAAAAAATAGTGACAAATAAAAAATTCTCACTGTTTTGCAAGGTTTGGGGCTGCGATTTTCCCCACGGCATTCTAACTATGCAACGTTCATGTTGTTTTAAAATTAAAATCAGATTTGGAGGGATGCTTAGAATCTTCAGTTCTGTTACAGACGTACACTGGCTGGTATATGATTGTTCTTAATAAAGTACGTATATATTTTAGACAAAAGCTCATTCTAGAGAAGAGGAGAGTGCGTCTGTGGCTAATAGTCAGCCAACATAGTGGTGTGTGGGTGTTTTCACCATCTTTTCTTTTTTTCTCAATGAGAAAGTTTGGAGGCAAAACCATTGACTTTTTGTCTTCTCTTTCCACAGCGATATCTGGCATGATTGTTCCTCCCATGTGAAAGAATTGCCTTGAAGAATTTTATTAATGAAGAGGTTGGATTCTGCTACGGAGAAAGTAATCTGATACAAGTCCCAGAGTGGAACTTTTAACTCAGGCCTTTTTAAGAGGAATCACAATTACTGCAGATTTTTAAACAAACAATATCACCGACCTTGCAAATACTGAAATTGGAAGGGAGCTGTGAGTGCAGGGTGCTGGTTAGGGTTGTACCTCCCAGATGTTTGGGGGATATATTTATTCTGTGTTGATAAAAGCAAATCCACTTTTTCTTTCTTTTTTTTTTAAGCTTAACTCTGCAGTTATTTGTCTTTTATAAACCGTAAAGCTGTACACACGGGACACTATAAATAAGACCCCATGTTTTAATTTATGATGTTTTTAAAGCTGTGTAACAGGAGAATGAAGTGGTGATATTTACAAAAAAGTTAAAAAAAAGAAAAAAGGAAAAAAAAAAAGCTTGTATGGGACAGAATAGGAATGCCAGTTAGATTTTTTAGAAAACTAAGAGTTGGCTTTTGCGCCTTAAAGCATATCAAATGGTAGTTAGCTCAGACAGTGCATTTTCAGTATCTAACTTAACATGCCACCCCTTAGCAGTGCAAGCTTATTTATCTCTTTTGTATTGTTGTCTTAAGTAACTGTGTAAATAAATGCAGCCTGCAAAGTTAAAAAGTGATGTTAAGTGATCACATTTTTTCCCTTCTACTCAAAAATCCAGTGCCTCTAGACAGATTGTTAAAACTGCATATTTAAACCCAATATCATCCTCGCTTTTAATTACGTCAACTTCTGAGGCCAATGGCCTCTCAAGAGCTTGGTGGCACACAGAGTGTGAGAGAATCTGCTTCGAATCTTCATGGAACAGGGTCCAGGCACACAATTCCACATCATGCCCTCCAGTTATCAAGCCAAACTCCCTCTTACACTCCCGCCATCTACACGGTTAAAGTTTACTCATCCGTAATGCTGCCTTCACACTGCTCCTCCCCAAGCTGACAAAAGCAAGTTGGAGAGAGAGAGAGAGGGGGCTTCTGTCAGTTGACCCTTACATTTGTAACACAAAAGATCGAAAGGGTAGGTGAAGTGCTTGGGAATCAAGAGTACGAGGAAACTGGGGAAAGGAAAAGAAGGCTGAGACCTCCAAAACATAGTTTTCTGTTCTATGGAAATTTTTGCTCTCATTATCTGGAAAGTGTTCTTAAAAATGAGAATTAATAGCAAAGATGCAGCAAAGCTATGAGGATGCATTTGCCTGATATTTTTTTCTTTGCTGTTGTGTTTTTGTATGTAGTTATAAATACTGTAGATTTTTTTGTGATTTTTTGCCAAAGTTGTCGTTCTATTTATACATTTTAATGTCTTAAGACAGTTTTTCAATATCACAAAAAGATTTTACGGCATATTTTGCAAAGAAAAAAGCTCACTACGTTTAGCTTGCACATACTCGCAAAGTTAATTAAAAGGCTTTCTGTTTTAAAGAGGATTTTGTAAAATATCCATATAAATAATGTATTTATCTTTGGAATTTGTACATTGCTTTTCCCTTCTTCCTTTTCCTCCCACCCTCTATTTTATTGTGTATGTTTGCTATGTGAAAAGTGCTATTTGTTTGGTCACCTACAGTTGTATTAGCTGTTTCAATGTGATTTTTAAACATTTCATTTATAGTTATTTTTAGTATTGTTTTAAACCATGCTTCAATTTTTTTAAAATTTCCACCCAAAAGCCATTGTCTATTTTTGTATTATTTGTAAGTTAAGAAGTTTTTTCCAATATATGGCAAAAAAAAAATAGTAGCATATTATTCTTGTAGCATTTAGTTCTGTAGATTTAAAAAAAAAAATGTATCCTTTGCTTTGGAAGCTTACAAAAAAAAAAAACCCCTAATGCTGTTTTACTCTATTAATATGCATGGAATCTCTCCCTCTGGAGTGACGCATTTTGTGCATTAAATTCGGGGGAGAAACTTCATAGAAATCAATGAACATTCTTTCTTAAGTCTGCTTGTATAATTCCTCTGTCTTTCACATAAATATAAACCAGCAGATTGGATGCCTTAACAATGCAAATCATATTCATTTCACTTGTACATTGTAACTGTGCACCAGAACTGTCAGTCATCACTAACATTGTAAAAAAACAAAAACAAAAAAAAAAAACAAAAAAAAACAAAAAGCAAAAAAAAAACACAAAGAAATCGAAAAGCACAAAAGAACTGTTTTGTTACCTTAAGACAATGTAACTTTTTCTAGTAGACAAGAAATTTACAACAATGCTGCAACTGTGCATGCCCCCATATGGATTTTGCAATGGTTTTCACTAGACTGTCAGAGTGCGATTTTTATGGGTTGGGGTGGGTGGGGGAGGGGAGTTGCGGGAGGGAAGGGAAGGGAGGAAAGCTGATTTTTCATGGCGAGAAATAATAATAATGATGATTAATAATAATAAAAAAACTGGAAAATGTAAGCAAGGTGGACGCATTGCTTCTCGGTACTCAGAAAGGTTGTCTGAATTCGTGCGGTAAGCGCTGGCCTGAAGATGTGTACAATTTAAAGCCATATTTTGTCTGGTGAGCCCCTTAACTGTTGGGAAGGAACGGTCAGCCGGTGAGGTGTCCGGCTCAGACCCTGACAACAAACGCCACCCATCTGTCAGCCCTGTGTAGTGGTTAGAACTTTTCCTGAAAGTCCAAAGAGCCTTTAAAATACATTTAATCTGTGTTCTGTTGCCCCTTATTTATATTGATTAGATGAAAAGATGTGCTGGCCCTCTGACCCTCTTTTCTTCTACACAAAACTCTTACAAGTAAAAGATGTTCCCCTAAATACAGAATATGGCTTTAAGAAGAAAATGAAATAGAGAGTGAAATTAAGATTTCAGTTTTGGGGGAAAAATACAGCTTCTGGATGACTGGATTGCATAACATGCCCTGGCCTCATATTGTACTAGAATGCAGCTTAACGAAGTCATCTCTAAAATCTACTAACCTTTCACCTTCCTATCCAACTTTTTGAATAGACACACTGTACAGTTCAATTGTTAGAGAACCTAACTACTGTAGAGATTGTTATAATTTTTTTCTTTTGCAAAAATTCAAGCTGTAAAAACTTTTCAACTTTCACAATATTTAATTAAAGTTACTTCCTGTCTGTGATGGCAGCTCCTAGTTGTGTATTCATTTCGATATTTCAGATGAGCCAAAGTCCAATATAATGTAGACGGTCTGTGCTTGAAATTACTCAGACCAGTGTTGACACCCAGAAAAAAGAAATTAGGGTAGTCCTGGGACACCCACATTCTTTGTAAATCCTTGGGGATTTGCTAATCTGGGATGCAAATTGAACACGCACAGCGTACTGCTGCCCTCTGCTGGCAGCAGGTGGACGCACACATGCCCACGCTGGCCCACAGAGCAGCCAGAGCCCCAACAATTTTTCACCCGCCAAGCAATGCGATCCCCCGCTGTGACTGAATTGTGAATCCAAGACCTGGCCATCCTAGAACACCATCCTCCGCACTACAAGTCTGAACAACGCTCTTCACATACAGCTGCTAATTAATCCCTGTGAGCCTTTTGGTCAATTAATTATGTGCCCTGGCTCATTGATGAGGAGGCATGTGTGAACTCAGAATCTTCATGGCTACAGTTTTAAATCCCATGTGGATGAGACACTTTCCCTGTTGGCTAAAACCTAATTTATATGGAGTCGAACGTTCCACAAACACCCAATAGCTACATAATCCTGTGAAACTGCCTCGCTTTAAGTTTCATCGTGATCATAAGTCTTCCCAATTGCACATTCAATGCTTTTCCTACTTTGCCACTGTTGGACATGATAAGGTTAATGATGCTTGTAAAATGTCTCGAGAACTCAGCAAATAGGCCGTAGACCAGCAGAAACTTGATGGTCAGAGCTAATAGGGTGTCACACAACCACCATTGTGATCGTTTGTGCTGGGCGTTGTTGATACACATTTGCTCTGGAATAGAGCCCAATTTGAGATAATGACAGAGTGTAATGAATTAAGTTAATAAGCAGAGAAGCTAACATCCTTTTCCTGAAAAGGGAATCTATGTGGATTCGTTTGGCCATTCTATATACATTTTTGGAATTCTCTATTGGATGCAGGTCCCTGTATTAGATGCAGAAGATCTTTGTAAAAAAATTATCAGCAAGGGGCGTCTGCCCTCAGGACAATCACAGTCTCAGATGAGATAAATCTACACTTAAAGTAGTCATGAGTGGGTAGGGTGAGACAGGCACATCACAAAGCTCCACAGAGTAAGACAAACACGCACACCCCTGCGGGCTGGCTCCTACCTTTCTGAAGGCCTTTTTCGTGGGCACATTCATTCTTTCACTCATTCACCCACCCACCTCGAAGGCTCGCTGTGCGTGTGGCACCAGGCGTGGTGGGTCCATAGCGAGCCCAGAGACACGGGTTCTGTCCGCAGGGAGCTTACAGTTGAGTGGGGCAAGCAGACATCACACAACCACACGGGTACATCCTAAAAGACCGAAAATGGCAATGAAGACAAAGTCCACAGTGCTCTGAAAATATCCTCTCTTGCCATGTATCATGCTCACTTTCTGTCCAAATTTTTGAGGGGAAAAAATAAAGATGCATATTATATATATATGGGTATAAATATTACACACCATGGGTACAATAATGGATATAATAATCCCATGTATAATGCATGCAAAAACATGGGAGTGCATTATACACAGCAAAATGCGTATATTCCGGTGGGATCCGATTTCGCCTGAAGAACTGGGGAAGGTTTCCAGAGAAAGTGCCATCTGAGCTGAGGTGTAAAGGATGAGGTAACCAGGTGGGGTGGGCACCTGAGGCGAGGGAATGAGGGCAGGTATAAGGATCTGAGCTTTGGGCATGGATATGGTGTGTTCAAGAACAGAGAGCCTGTGTGAGTGGAGTATGCCCAAGTGCAAGATGGCACTGCGGAGCTTGGGAAGTTCAGTTCAGAACACATACTGAGCACCTACTATGTGTCTGGCACTGTCCCGGATGCTGGGATGCACTTGGCAGACTGGGCATAACTCCTGTCTGTAGGGCCCAAGGCACAGCTGGTAAACCCACAGCCCTGAATCTGTCCATAGGGGATATGCTGGGTGAACAGAACAGGCTGAGCTGGGGGAAGAGAGGAGGGGAGCACCTCGCTTACTCTGGGGGGTTGGAGTGATGTGCACCCCCATCTTCTATTTTTTAAGCATGCCAGATGTATTGTTGGGCTCTGGGGCTTTTTTGGAGGGGGGTGAAATTTTCATTTTTTAAATGTTGTCATCTAATCCAAAAATAGTGCTTTCAAAACACTCTGTTGAGCAAACAAAATCCATGAGCTCTTGAATGTCATTTTGGGACTTCTGGCCAAAACACAAGTTACTGAAGGAGATGTTTACACAGCCTGATTTGAAGGTCACAGTGATATGTCCTATCCATGGAGACAGATCAAGGAATGCTGCAAAGAAGGGCACGCCAGGGCGGTGTGAACAGGAGCTCTTGAAGCAGATGAGGAAACGCAGGGCATGGGAGGCCACGGCCAGAGCCTTTGGAGCCGGCTACATGGGAAAGAATGACTAAAGTTGGTGGGAAGGAATAGGAATACCATGGGCAATGGACTACCTAATCGTGAAAAAAAATCCCCTCTGCTCTGCAGTAGCCACGTTCAGTGCAAAATGTATAGATTGGTTTGGTTTCTTTCCATCTCCTTCTGCCTTGCAGAAAGGCTCTCGCGAACGAGTTCATTTCTCAGTAGACTCCTGGAGAGGCGAACGCTTTCCAGTGCACCCTGCTCAGGGCCAGGCCGGCCCTCGAATGCTCCAAACACTCCCACTCTCAAGAATGTTGCTCTTGGAATTATTATCCTTTCTCCTCCTCAGTTGCTCCTTCCTCAATATTACTTTCTGATGAGTGTACACATAGGGTATCTTCTAAGAAACCTGTTTTGATGTCACTTTGCTTTCGATCCCTCCATCGCCTTTCTGCTCCCCTTCATAGCAAGTCTCCTCTGAAGAGTTGTGTGTGTCTGCTCTCTTAGTCATTTCTGTTCTCTTCTTATCCGTATGACAACAGATGCTCACAGTAATGATGAGGAGCAAGTGTTCAACATGGCAAATGAGGGATGGGATGTATGTTTTAGAAGCGTCGTCCTGGTAGCTGTGTAGAGGACGAATTGGAGAGAGGCGGGAGGGGGAAGGATGACAACCAGGAGACCGTTGCAATGGTCCAGACAAGGGAGGGGCAAAGAGCGCAGGCTCGGAGAATGGAAAGGAGGAGAGCAGACAGGACCAGAAGTCGTCAACACTGTGATTCTCGTCAACCACACTGTACCACACAGCTCGGTTGCTGAGGGACCGGGTCCTAAACGTCCTCACCACTAAATGAAATGAGGATTATGCGGCCTGACAGAGGTGTTAGCTGATGCCGCGTTGGTCACCATATTGCCACACCTAAATTGTTGCACACCTTCAATGTACACAATGGCGTATGCCAATTATGTCTCCATTTAACAAAATATTCGGGGGACAGAACCACCAGGATTTGGTGACTGCGACAACATGGGGATTGAGGGAAAGGAGGAAAGACAAGCTAAAACTCGATTTTCTGACTGGGGCCATTGCTACTGAAGAACGGGTTGGTGTCTCCGGGCTGTTTCCCTGCAACGAAGCTACGAAGCTCGACGGTGAAGCTCCTTCCTACTGTTTCCTTCACTCTCCTTCCCTCTCCCCACAAAGCTTCTATATTTACATGAGGAATGAAATTCA